AAAAGAAAAGAAAAGAAAAGAAAGGGCCCTGAGCTCATGGGCAGGGTGGGGCCAGAACCCACAATTTAGGCCCAAGCCCAACTCTGGCCCTGTTGGCACAGGTTCGGTCGCTGGTGGCTGTGGGCACCCCAGACTACTTATCCCCCGAGATCCTGCAGGCTGTGGGTGGCGGGCCTGGGCCAGGCAGCTATGGGCCAGAATGTGACTGGTGGGCACTGGGTGTGTTCGCCTATGAAATGTTCTACGGGCAGACACCCTTCTACGCAGACTCCACTGCTGAGACTTACAGCAAGATTGTCCACTACAAGGTAAGCACAGCCCCAAGAAGCCCCTGAACTCTCTGTACTTGTTCCCCGGCTCACACCCACCTCTTTCCCTTTCCTTCTGAGCAGGAGCACCTGTCTCTGCCACTGGCGGACACAGGGGTTCCTGAAGAGGCTCGAGACCTCATCCAGCGGCTGCTGTGTCCCCCAGAGACAAGGCTGGGTCAGGATGGAGCAAGCGATTTTCAGAAGCATCCTTTCTTCTTTGGCCTCGACTGGGATGGCCTCCATGACAGCGCTCCCCCCTTTACTCCAGATTTCCAGGGTGCCACTGACACATGCAATTTCGATGTGGTAGAGGATGGGCTCACTGCCATGGTGAGCGGGGGCGGGGTAGGTACCTGCAGCCCCTGCTTGGCTGAAAGGACCTCCTCATCCCCCCTCCATAAAGTTGGAATAATGATAGTACCTACTTCCTGGAGTCCTGAATCATTCATTCCCTAGAGCACTTGCTCTGTGCAACCCAGTGCATGATCTAGACTTCCAGATTTAGAAGTGGGGTGGGGGTGGGGCACAAACCAGTCCTTAGTAATGAAACCCCTGAGTGATTAGAGCTGAAATGGGAGCATTCAGGGTACAGGGGTCCTGACTCAGCATGGAAGGTCCTGGAAGACTTCCCGGAGGGGAGTGTCTAAGCTGAGACCTGGAAGATGAGGTAAGGTGAGGCTGGAGAGGACTCTTCCTTCCTTAGGCCATCTCTTTCTCCACAGCCTAACATGCTGCCTGGGAGTGCTTGCTCAACTCTGGGTGACCTGGAGACACAACACTGACCAAATCACCCCTGGCCCCTACCCTCATCCAGTTGTAGTCTAGAGAGTTATATATTTTCATGTAGTATGGCAAATGCCCCAACAGAGGCAAAGGATACAAGAAGTGATGGAGGGCCACTTTAAATAAACCCTGAGTTGGGGTTGGTTTAGAGGCAACATATAAGCCAAGACCAGAAAGGGGTGAGAGGCCAGCCTGACAACTGCTGGTCACATCCGTGGGTCTTTTGTGTAGGAGACACTGTCAGACATGCAGGAAGGCGTGCCGCTGGGGGTCCACCTGCCTTTTGTGGGCTACTCCTACTCCTGCATGGCCCTCAGGTAAGCTCCACCCTGCAAGGCCACCAAAGACCCCAGAGGCTGTTTGGGCTTCTGTGTTCCAGCTCCTCCTTGGACAGTAGCTTTGCAGGATCAGTCTTGGGACTTTACTGTTTTGGGACCAAGAACTCCCTAGAAGCCCACAGTTGTAGAACCTTAAAATTTCAGACCATAATACTTTAAAATTTTAGATTCAATTATAAAACCTCAGAACCACAGACTTGACCTTTCAGAATCTTGCAACTGTTGACTTTTACATTCCTAGTACACAGAACCATGGGACCTCAGAGTCTTAGGCAATAAGAAGTATAGAATTTTACAATCAAGTTTAAAAGAACAAACTCATTGAATTGGTCATGTAACAAGATGGTCTTTTAAAATGTTAGTTATATAAGTAAGGCATTGCTTACGATGGTAAATTAGAAAGTATGGCTAAGGAGCTAGGTGTGGTGGCTCATGATGAAAATCTCAGTACTTCGGGAGGTTGAGGCAGAAGTATCACTTGAGGCCAGGAGTTTGAGACTAGCCTGAACAAGAGGAGAGACCCTGTCAAAAAAAAAAAAAAAATAGGAAAATTAGCCAGCATTGTGGCACATGCCGGCACATGCCTGGCACTTCCAGCTACTCAGGAGGCTGAGGCAAGAGGATCACTTGAGCCCAGGAGTTTGAGCTTGCTGTAAGCTATGATGCCATGGCACTCTCTACCCAGGGAAACAGAGTGAGACTCTGTCTGAAAAAATAAAAAGTTAGGGTGGCACCTGTGGCTCAGTGAGTAGGGCGCCGGCCCCCTATACCAAGGGTGGTGGGTTTGAACCCAGCCCTGGCCAAAGTGCAACAAAAAAATAGCCAGGCATTGCGGCAGGAGGCGCCTGTAGTCCCAACTACTTGGGAGGCTGACACAAGAGAATCACTTAAGTCCAAGAGCTGGAGGTTGCTGTAGCTGTGATGTCACAGCACTCTACTGAGGGTGACAAAGTGAGACTCTGCCTCTAAAAAAATAAAAAATAAAGTTAGTCTGTAGTCCTAGCTATTTGGGAGGCTGAGGTAGGAGGACCACTTGATCCCAGGAGTTTAGGATTAAAGTGCGCCATGTTGGCCTCACTGCATTCCAGGCCTGGGTAATAAAGTGAGACCTTGTCTCTTACAAACAGGCCAGGCAAGGTGGCTCACCCCTCTAATCCTAGCACTCTGGGAGGCTGAGGTGGGCTCACGAGTTCCAGATCAGCCTGAGCAAGAGGGAGATCCCATCTCTAAAAATAGCTGGGCATTATGGCTGGCGCATGTAGTCCTAGTTACTCAGGAGTCTGAGACAAGAGAATTGCTTGAGCCCGAGAGTCAGTTGCTGTGAGATGCTTCTCTTAAAAAAAAAGAAAAAAAAAGGGCCAGGCATGGTGGCTCACACCAGTAATCCTGGCACTTTTGGAAGCTGAGGTAGGTGGATTGCCTTAGCTCAGGTTTGAGACCACCCTGAGCCAGAGAGAGACCCTGTCTCTAAAAAGAGCTAGGTGTTGTAGTGGGCACCTGTAGTCCCAGGTACTCGGGAGGCTGAAGCATGAGAATCACTTGAGCCCAAGAGTTTGAGGTTGCTGTGAGCTATGATCCTACAGCACTCTACCAAGGGTGACAAAGTGAGATTCTGTCTCAAAAACAAAAGAAAAAACAGGTAAGGAAAAGGCGGTTGATCCCTGAGCCCCCTTTCTAGTAGGGGTCCCGGCTCACACATGCCCAGACACATATTCAACAACTAGGAGAACAGGCCTTTTTTTTTTTTTTTTTTTTTTT